TGGATGGATGGATGGATAAATACGGCTGAGCCCTTTGGATCGGGCGGTAGCTTACGCCACCTAGCCATTTTGTTTTACCATTTAAGCTTAGAATATTTAAATGTGAAATTTATATTCACTCCGCAGTGCAAAGAAAATGAGGCTATGAAACCCCCTTGCCATCAGTGAATAAGAAAATACCTAGTTTTCTCTCGATTTCTGCCACCATTCACTTAATCTTTGCTTGGTAATCTCTACAGTCTTGAAATCCACTCTCCCTTCGCTGTCTCTAAAACCCAATGACTTTATTAAATCTATGTTGTCTTCGGTAGGCATAGGGTGAAGCCCTTTACAGTAGAGTATCAAGTGCTCAGCCGTCTCGTCTTCCTCTCCACAAGCAGTGCACACTGTATCAATTTCCTGGTACTTCACTCTGTACGTTCTGGTTCGCAGAACACCCGTCCTCGCCTCAAACAGCAATGAGCTTCCCCTAGAATTGTCATAAATGCTTTCTTTGGCAATAAATCTTTTGTTTAATCTATAGCTTTCCAGAGCCGTCTTTGTCTGCATTCCCTCTAGCCACCAATCCCTTTCTGTGGCCTTAACTTTCTTCTTAACTGAGACTTGCTCTTCCGTATCCAAAAACTTTCCTCTTAATTTCCTAGTGCGCTGTCTCCACCTTGTGTCTACACTCCTCATGTATAAATAGCTGAAAACCTTTCGTGCCCATTGCTCCCCATCCATTTGCCCCAACCTATCCTCAAATTCTATCTTGCTCACCGCTTCCCTGCTCTCATATGATGCCCATCCCATGTCTCCTTGTACTCCCTGGTTTGGCGTTTTGCAATGTGCCCCCCAAGCCAGTCTACCTACTCCGCGCTGTTTTATTTCTCGTCTCGCATGCACTTCGGATTTCACGCATAGCACTGCGTTTCCAAAAGTCAAGCCAGGCACCGTGACCCCTTTCCAAATCTCTCTCACCACCTCGTACCTGTTGTAATTCCAAAGTGCTCTATTTTTCATTACAGCTGCATTTCTGTTGCCCTTACCTATTATATACTTTTCATGCTCTCTGAGATATTCTGCACCATCACATATCCATACTCCTAGATACTTGTATTTACTAGCTCTCTCAACTGTAATATTCTGTATCTTCAGCCTCTCAACTTGATCCTCGTTAAAAATCATGACTGCTGATTTTTCGCTACTGAATTCTAAACCTAATTCCTCTCCTTCCCTACCACCGATGCTCATTAATTCCTGCAACTCTGCCCTGTTGTTAGCCATTAGTACAATATCATCCGCATACATTAATCCCGGTAAGGATTGCTGAATTTTTCGGCCTAGCTTACTGTAAGAAAGGTTGAATCCAAGCCCACTCTTCTCTAGTCTATCCTCCAATCCCCTCAGATACAACATAAACAGCAAAGGCGATAACGGGCACCCCTGCCTAAGGCCTCGTCTTATCTCTATTTTCCCTGTCGCCTTTCCTTCCCATGCTATAATCACCTTGTTATCTTTGTAAATGTTCCTTAATAGTGCTGTTAGTCCTTCATCTAGGTTTAAGTTCTCCATTATGTCCCACAGGTTTCTTTGGTTCACATTGTCATAGGCACCCTTGATATCCAGAAATGCCAGCCAGAGCTGTCTGTTTCCTTTTTGCGCTATTTCTATACACTGTGTTAGAGAAAATAAATTGTCCTACAACCTTCTTTGTTTCCGAAACCCGTTCTGTAACTCGCCCAGTATGCCCTCGCAGTCTACCCATTCCTCCAGTCTGTTCTTTATAATCTGCATTACCAACCTATAAATAACCGGTGTCACGGTTATAGGACGATAATTCCTAATATCAGACTTATCTCCCTTTCCCTTATATATCATACTCATCCTGCTAAGCCTCCATTCATCTGGAATATTTCCTTTTGTTATCATGGTACTCACTACCTCCCTTAGTTTTGCCTTAGATTTAGGACCCAAATTCTTCACCATCTTGATAGGGATACCATCTGTGCCTGTCGACGTACCACTAGGGACTCTTCGTTCCGTCTTTTCCCGTTCTCTTTGTCCAAAATCCGCGATGTCACAAACTGGACTGCTACTTCCTTCGGTTCTCCTATCTTCCACATGTACCTGTTCCCGAAATTTCTCCTCCATCACTGCTCCTACATATTGTATCGCATCATCTCCCTCTAATTGATCTCCCTGATGCGAGAGTATGAACCTCTGTCTAGCTTGCGTTGTTTCACCGAGTGCGTTCAAGTGCTCCCAAAACTTCTTGGCAGCGTTTCTATCTTTCTTACTTACATTACTCATCCATTCCTCACTCTTTCTCTGAATTTTCGCATTGATCAAACTGGATGCCTCTCGGCGACATGTTATAGAATTGTCCCATTTTCTTTTTACTTCCGTTTCGGACTCCCCACTACGCTTGGAATACCTGTGTTCTCTAGAGGCTTCCTGACGTTTTTGTATCGCTTGCTTCACTTCTTTGTCCCACCAGCTTTTTGGTCTCTGTCCTTGCTTCCCCTTTGGTTTACTCTTAACTTTGTCTAGTTCTAGACCAAAAAGCCTAGTTAGGCTCTCATAGGTCCAATCTGTATACCGTTGCCCTGAAACTGCTGCCTCTATTCTTTCAACAACTATTTCCATCTCTTTGTCGCTGCAGAAAGTTTGCTTTGAATTATGTTGTCTAGTTTCAGCATTTACTTCTCTGGCAAAATTCAGCTTAATACGTTTGTTATCACTACCAAGACTTTTGGAACCTTCTTCATCAATTTTCATTACTGTGCCTGGAAGGCGATCCCACCGCCATCTGTTGGTTCAGAACCACACTAACCAGGGGTGGTGTTGCACCTTAAGCTGAGACTGCTGCCAATGCCAAAAGCACGAGAGCTAGAAATGCATTTCTCAAGACCAAGAGCGCGGCCTAGCTCGCACTTGTAGCTTTGGCTGCAGTCCACGGTGCTACAGACTCAGCTTAAGGGTGAACGGAGTATACGACGGAAAGTTGTGTCCAACTAACGAACAGTCAAGCTAAAACAATGGACGTTTATAAGAAAAATTAAATTCGGGCTGTAACCAGCACTTCGCACCATCCCTCTACAAATGGCCAAGCCGAGTGCATGGTGTACAAATAAAAACAGACGTTAGCGAAAGACAGGAAAGGACTTCTTTCCTTGAGACCTTCAAATTTATTTTATAAGCAACACACAACAATATCTATAGACCCTTTTACTATTTACGAACATGAACCCGGTCGCTCTGTTTTTGCAAGCCTGTCGAGCTTGCTTTGTGACCAGTGCTAGAAAGCATAAATGCTACACGGACAACAAAGTTGGACATTTAACGAGGTCGTTCAGCTGTACGATCTAACATCTTAGAGGAGACAAGTTGGTTTACAAGAATGTTAATAACAAGATATTGAACAGATCTCGCGCTTCTTGGTTTTTTGGCGTTCGCTTGGAGACTATGTGGTTAAGTGTTCGATCGACGTTCACTGTTCTTACTTTGCTCATTCTTTTTATGAATCAAATGTTTGCTGGGACGTCGAAGACTGGAGCACCGCCTGGTAGCGTTTGCAAAGAAAAGGGTCTATACCTCAGAGGGGAATCGGAGCGTGTGGAGCGAAAGCTCGCTATGCGGAAACCGGGGATCTTGGGTTCGATCTCCACCCCTGCCTGTTTCGATCTCGATGAGCATCGTGTCGGCGTGCTGTCGTGTACCGCTACTACATGATGCACGTTAAATACCCCAAGCTAGCGGTTGTATTTCACAGACTAAATTTTTTATCTACAGCTGATACAGAGACGCCGATTGGGGCTGACTAATTCCTAGCTGTCTAAACATCCCCACAATTATTATTTATGTTTATATCTACCTCGACCGGAAAGACACCTGCCTGTATGAAGTTCGACCGCGAAGTGACTACAAACTTGAGCAGGCTGATTTCTCCACCATGCAGAGAGAGAACTAAGAAGAACAACAGCAAGAAAAGATGTCTGCATCAGAACCTTCAATGAAGGACAGCCCAACGTTACTCGATCAACTGAGTTGGCGAACTCCCATGTAGAGCGTGATCCCTTTTAAAACACGCGCTGACACAGTTTCCGCTGATAACCCCTAGATTCGGAAATGCTGTTTGAAACGCAGTCCTTCTTGCCCGCTGCGACCGTGATATTCGTCAATTTCCATGCTAAATCTAGCGGAGAAATTGACGTCACGTGGCCTCAACACCCATTCAGTTTCCCCGTTAACTTTAGCGAAGAAAATGACGTCACATGACTTTGTGTCACGTGACATAATTTCCCCGCTGACCGAAGGTGCGTTCCAGGAACCTTTGGTCAGCGGAGCGAAGGAGGAGGAGAGGTTGATGAGCAGAGGAGGAATAGGGGGAAAGGAGGAGGAGGACGAGAGGAGGGAAGGAGGAGGAGACGGGGACAGGAGGAGGCGTGGAGGAGGAGGAGGGGGAAGAAAGGAGGAGGAGGGGGAAGAAGAAGGAGAGGGGAGGAGGATGAGGAGGAAAGAAGGGGATGAGGAGAAAGGAGGATACGAGTAGGATGAGGGGAGGAGGGGAGGACACGGAGGAGAGAGGGCATATCCTCCCCTCCGTACAATCCCCTCCTCCTCCTCAAGAGCTGCGCTCTAGTTTCAAATTGCAGAGATTTGTAAACGTCTTTCATTTTTTTTTTTATAATAGAAGTTCAGAGTATTTTTAAGAATGCAACAACAGTCACGACAGTGCCGTCAGCCTCCTCTGTTCCTTTTCGCCGGCGCTCATACAATTATCGATCGTGACAACACTTTGCGTTACCCTGCTACTCCTGCGACGCATTGTACTGCCAGTCTGAGGACCACTTAGATGCAGTGGCGATGCAGGAAGCTAAACACACCGTTCAGAGACGCGCTCTTTAAAGAGTACTCCTAATCGGCCAGCAACCCTCGCCTCAAAAACAAAATGAAAATAAAGGAATACAGTGCTGCCAACTAGATATGATTATTGAGGAGAAGTCCGCAGGCAGATCTTTTCAAGTTCCACAAGTTGCCGAGAGGGCTCGGGTGGCGTTCCGGTTCAGGTGGAGTTCAATTTATTCTCGAGTGCAGTGAACGTTATTTCATACAGATTTTCCCAGTCTTTCATGGAAGGTTACTCTGACTCGGTCAAACTGCTTCGGGCATGGGGTTGGCTTCCCGGATCATCATCCGTGTTTCGGGGTAGGAGTAATGATACAAGCCTTCGACGTGGTTCCGCCTGGACCACTCCATGCCGTCAGCGTAGCTCGTGTGCGGCCCGTTCAGGTTAAGGCCGTTGAGGTTGCTGATGTGGCAGGCGGCGTACCACCAACCGCCTTTGTAGGTCGTGGCACAGTTGCTGTTGTCATTATCGTTGTCACTGTCGAAGGTGCTAAACTTGATTCCGTTCCTCGAGATGAACGAGTCCGAATCTGTAAACGGGAGTGAATTGAAGTGCTATCGTTGAGAAATTTTCTATGGATGCCCTCATATTACTATGAGGCTGGGAGCCTGGCATTATAGAAAACAATTGAGATGAAAGGTGGTAATGCCGCATTTACAACCATGACACAAGGGTGAGTGGAAGATCACTTCGTTATTTCTAGCCGATAGCCTTTTATGCGGCATATGCGAATTCACTCATCCCTAAATGGCCTCCAGTCCAAAGGACTCTAAACTAGCTTTAAATAGAACTCCTGCGTCAAATTTTCCGCAAGGCACGGGTATGATCAATCATTATGTTCTACAGAATTAGCCCTGTGAAAGGCACGGCTGAGAACGTGTCTCCAATACCCTGCCGCAAAGTAAATAGACGGTGGACGTAAGAGCGTAATGTCCACATCCTCATTTGCTTGACTCTTTGCATAGATCGCAGCAGAGGTGCGGGATACATTGGGGGGGGGGGGGGGGGGGGGGGGAAGGCGGACTGTTTTTTTTTTTTTTTGCTTACAGATTTTGTTTAAATTTCAGTAAAAGGCTATTTCCCTTCGCCCCCTCCCCCCTTTCCCTAACCCAGCGCCGCACCCCCGTTCCGACGCCTTCGAATCGAATGGATCAGTTTACAAGCCTGTGCTATGGAAAAACAGACATGCGAGCCAAGAAGATAGTGTAAAATTACCAGTAAAACACAACTGACTCAGAACTTCCTACGCCGATCCTTGTTGTTATTTTAGTTAGCTGGGTTAGGGGACAATGAGCGTTGTCCCCATAGTAGGGCACTCGCAGTGGCAAGATGATGTCCACCCCTTTCTGCCACTGAGAGTGCATGACTATTGGCGGCGTGCGGGAACTACAGCGGGCGTTTCTCCAGCTACCATCATCATCGTTTGTGACGACACGGGTAGGACAGTCTGAAACTGTCCGCGCAGATCTTGGATCCTTCGGCTCGTCATCTCACTCCATGCCGTGTTCCCGTAACGCATCACAAAGCCCTTTTCACGACTTTCTGTTTATTTGGTGAAGTGACGTTTGTAGTAGGACATTTTATCGAAGCTTCAAACCGTGGCCCCCTTTGTCGAGCTAAGAAACACTTTTGGCGCTGAAGTGTCGAAGCGCTGGGATGGTGGTGCGCTGTCCTCTACCCCAGTACGAAATGCTGGATGTTGCAGATATCCAGCGCTTTACCCCACTACAGCATCTACTGCGACGAATAGGGCGTACGAAATAACAGTGAGAGCGCAGACGAGCTGGTGTAGCATTAATATTTCTTTAAACTACCCGATACTGGGGCGAGAAAACTATGAAGCATTAAAACGTCGAAAAGAAAGGCAAGTTGAAAGGAAGACAATGTCTCGGAACGTTGTCTTCCTTTCACTTTGCCTTTCTCTTCCAGGTTTTGATGCTTCACAGTTTTCTCGCCCCAGTCTCGGGTAATTTCAAGAAAAAGTATAGGGTATATTTCTTATTATGATTTGGACAATATAAAACTGAGAAAAAAACGACTCATCAAATTAAAAATTGGAAATCCAAATTCCAGGTCCTCTGGCCTGTGTAGTAAACACTTAAGTGAACGCGACTTCGTGTATGCTGTTGGTTCGAACGTGTTCTGTGAGTGCTGTCTCTTATTAGTTCTAAGTTGATTCCTTTCTTGAATTTTGTAAATCAGTAAACAAACATTTTCTTGAAATAACTGGTAGGAAGAAGCGGTCTGGCTTCCTGAGCTCGTTTAAATTAAATCTCTGCTTATTTATCTGGTTGATGCGAAACGTGCGAGACCCCCTGGCGATCGAAGTCGTAAATTTAGTAAGTCGGTCACACTTCAGCGTCCCAAAAATGAGGTTGTACCTGCTATGAATTACTACCGTTTGTATGTTTAATTTTGCGCATAATGCGCAAATGCATAATGCACAAATGTGCATAATGCATGATGCGCTTCTCAGTGAGCGATTTTATATTTGTAAATAATTCTTAGTAAAAATTGGATAGAACAAATTAATCAATCGCCTGAATTTGCCGGGCTATGTCTAACAATTTAAGAACTAATGAAAATTTCTGCTTTTTTTTTAGCAGAAGTCGCGATGTGACAAACATTTTGCCACTTACTCGATGCTGGAGGAGCCAAGCGTCAGCAACTGTCGAGTTACACTTGGATAGAAGCGTCGGTATCGGCAAACTCAATGTAGCTAAAGCAAGTGTGCGGCGCTTTGCAACACAACTGTGCGCGCGTGCACAGCTAAGAAGACAGCGCGTCATTTACTCTGGTGAATGCAAAACGTTTTTCTAAAGCAGCCTCCCCAGATCCGAAAAAAACAAAAACAAAACAAGAATCAGAAAGGTTGTGAATAACCCTGACGCACGCCGCGCAAGCTGTATTGTGAAGAAGCTCCAGGCTTGTTCTTGAACATTTGAGGAACAAAAATCAATACAAAAAGTAACTTCGAGGCTTGTTGCTATTCATTAGAAAGATCACTGACAAAAACGTCATACACGTTTTTTTTTAAATAAATAAACCGTTTTTAGTCGGCAAGGTGCAAACTAACATAGCCACTCCGTGGTTCAACATAGCGCCTAGTCTGCTCGCATCCTACCAGCTAAGTCACAGGAGGGCGCCCGCGAGGTGGCGCCACCAAAACATCTCGTCGCCACTAGGAGTACGATACTGATCGCCTTCCTTCCTAGCTAAGCCGATTTACGGAAGATTAACGAATGTCATTTCGACACCACTCTTGAAGCACAAAATGAATGCAGTCATGCCTCGATGTTTTTTGTTTTCTTTTCTTAATGTAAATTTTGTTGATGTCTACGTAGATGAAAACAAATAGGAACTGGCCTTACCTGATGGTCCGGAATAGCCGCCGACCGTCATTTTGTAGCGGTCAGCCTGAGACGCGACTTTGAAGATTTTGTAGTTGGCAACCAGGCTTTCTCCTGTGTCGTTTTTCAGTTCAATTCGTAGAGAGAATCCCCTGTCTTCAGATGTAAGGGCGTGCAGCACGTCGTTTCCTTGCGGAATCAAAGAAAGGAAGGTGTGTAGTCAGACGGTACCGCAGCAAAATGTAATATGGCGCGTGGAGACAGAAGGCCCGTAACAACCAAAACTCCGCGCGCTGCTGCAAAAACAAAACGCCCATACGTCTGCTTTTCAGTAGTAGAACTTGGTGAGTCAATAAGCGGCGTTAAATAAATTAACTTATAATCACTATGCGCTTCGGAACATTTTGGGGCTATAGACGTTTTTGGCAAAAACGGCACGTGTGCGCTGCCATCTTGCTGCATTGTGGGGGTAGATCGTCTGATAGTCATGCTTTGCTGAGGCCGGGGGTACGTCTCACCAAAGCTTGACCATTAGACGATCTGCCCACACCAGCCGCAAAATGGCGGCGCCCAGAGGTCGTACTTGCAAAGGTCAATGGACGCCGACAGCTTAAGCAACACAGGGCGTGGCTCATTACGCCCACGAAATTTTTGGTCCGAAAATCGCTACTTTGGCGTTCATATCGCCTAACGCCGCAATCTGATTGGCTACGGGGAAGTAAAAATATGCTCGGGAGTAGCTGGACGCTGTGACGTCACTCCAAGGCGGTGGCGCTGCTGTTTGCACTGCGCATGCGCAGATGCTGCCTCGGGTGAATCTGGTTTCGGCGCACGCGCAAGGTCCACACCCCTGTGCGGATAAACGCGAGCTTGTTTGTAAACTGTGTGTTGGCTTCTAGTTACCATTCTACCCTTATACTACAGTGGCCTAGAGAATTGTAGTGGGCTCCATAGAGTTATTACAATGTACGCTAGAGGTTCAACTGGCGCTAGTGTCGACGCGACTTCAGGGAGGCAAATTGAAGCAGACAGCAACCAGTCTACTTTTGCAGTGCTCCTGTGCATCCCTATGCGAAAACCCGCGTGCATTTTGTCTCTTCGCGGGAAAATAACATGAATAACTTTTGTTATTTCGGTTGTACCGGATAATATATACCTTTATTAATATTGGGAAAGCGTAATTGCTTTAGTTACAGCATTTTTCTTTACCACTAAACGATGTTAAACGTCGCTGTATTTCAGGCCCGAATCTCTGTACCATGGCAGGTATGTAAAAACGAGCGACGATTCTAAGCAAAATAACGATCGAAAGGAATGTAGAGTGTGTTCAAGGTTAGCTAGCATTCCGGCGGCGCTTATATATTGCTAATATACAAGCCTTTCATTATATGAAATTGACCCCGTCGTGTTCCTCTTTACGATCGGTTAAAAAAAAACGTTCGGACGTAAAAAATAAAGTACGTGGGCTACAAAAGGTGTGTCTTTTTATTATTTCCTATGTCGGGCAGTTTTTATCGGACACCTGTTCTCTCGCTTCTCCCTATTTTCAAAGGTTTGGGGCGTGCGAGTGATTATTAGAAACCCAGAACAAGCATCTTCGCACATACTCACGAGCAGAAAGAATAAAACAGTACTCATTTATTGGAAATCGGACTATATTACGTGGCTTTCCATTTATTTTGATTATATGCATGCACAAGGAGTTACTTATCCAGTGTTCCAGCGTAGTTCTTCCAGTCTCTCCTAGTTTTCCAGATGTCCTTCTGTCGTTTGGCACGTATATCCCCTACGCTAGATAGCGCCGACGCCGTGTTTGCGCTAACAGTGTCCGACAGTGCACATAACTACATGTACGAAGCAGTTTTAGCACCGTTTTTCATGCCACTAATTTAAAATAAAAAAGCCGTAACTGACCAATTATTTCGTCTGCGTGACTGAGAAATGTTCCAACGTGCCTGGTACGTACAACTATTCGTGACATTTGCTCTTATAATCGAGCGCAGAGAGAAAACGCACTCGCTTTTTCTCATAGGAATGCATTACCGGAAGTCAATTTCAGACTGGTTGCTGTCTGCTTCAATTTGCAGCACCACACTAGCGCCAGTTGAACCTCTAGCGTACATTATAATAACTCTATGGTTGGCTCACGGGACACGTCGGCCTGAGGCGTCTGATGTTGACGCCGTGGTGGCGCTGCAAGCGTTTCCTCCTGAAACTTTCCAGCGCGCATTGGCCGGGTCATGTCAGCTACACTCTAAGAAAAAATGGAGGAAAAAAGTAGCAACGGCGCGTCTTCCTCCCTTCTACTGACGCGCCCCCAACCGGACACGAGAAAAGGGGAGGAACGAAACGTTTTTCTCCTTCTCCAGGCAGACGGGAGAAAGCTTTCGCCCTCCCGACTCATCTTCTTTCGGTTTCGTTTTTCGAGCAGGTCGCGCACGTTGTTTAATAAATAGCTGTTGAGTTCATTGAGCTTCAGCGGCAGTAAAGGCCGCCTGTAATTCCGTTTTCTAGTCTAAACGTGCAGAACATTTCGGTTGCATTGACGCTTTTATCATTAATTTTATCAAACAAGCAAACGAAGCCGCTAGAAACAGCGAAGTTGCGGAGCAGTGCCAGCAGTGCCACGTACACTGGGGGATGGCCGTCTCCTGATTGCGGGACTCGCGCGCGCGGCGAACCGACGGAACTACAGTCGCTACAGTAGCGAGACCACGCGGAACTGTGTCGACGTTTTCGACGTTATGGAAACCGCAGGAACTGCGTCCAAGACAGGCAGGTTTTGCTGCCGGCTGCCTGGGTGCCTTCCGCGCTGAGTTCGGTTCTGTTTTCCGATGCCGAGTGCAACCGGCGTTCAACGTGGTTCTGTATTGTGCGTGGCAGCAACATAGCTGCAACATCGTGATGGCAGTGTTGTGGGTTGTGAACAGAAGACTGGAATTATCGCCGATGTGACCGTGTGTTCGCGTATCAGTGGTGTAACAACAAGATGAGATCGTCAACTGTCGGGCATTGATGCCGTTGGTCGGGCCGTGATGAGGGGGCGGGGTGTCGCAGGTTGACATTCCGCATTACATTAAAAAGTTTAATACCACTTGAGGGATTACGTGCAATCGATCAACGTGCGGATAGTCATGTTGGAACGCTGGTCTGAACAGTAGAAGCTCCTATCGCTATCGTACAATGGCCAATATGACTGTCGGAATTGTCTCGTCCCCGAGAGCGATTGCGCTCTGGGGCAAGGACTGAACAGTTCGAAATCGTGACGGAAAGTACGTATATTTACAGTATGAAATTTCGGCATTAAAAAACAATAGAAGGTAAAATCGAAAAAAAAAGCTGCCCTTTATTTTGCTGTTTAAATATACTACGGTTCCTGGAGAAACTGCCTTCCAAGTGGCGCGCTGAGATGAGCGCTAGACGTTTTTGGGCTCGCCACGGCGTAGCTCCGTACACTGAACACCTGCCGCAAGTCGCGGCTTTGACTGCATTCAAGTTGATCTAAAAGCGATTTCTCAGCATGTGAAGCATCACTTCCAGCTGAGTGAATATCCGCTCTACAGAGATTAATTCAAGACGGCAATTGCAGCTTTGCGCGAACAGCACAAATAGAAAAACCAATAGAAATACAGGCTACGACGTGCCGTGTGGGGAAACAAACTCATGGCTTCGAACCGCATTAGGGCGGCTCGATTTATAGGCTTTCAAATAATTACGGCTTAATCTAGCGTTTACTTTTAATGAGAGATTCATCCCTTGAGCCATTTAAAATACCTTCAGAGGTATGACATTGCTGGGAAAAAGCAACATGCTGGGAATATTTTTTATTGCTTAGGGGGTCACCGAAAAGTTCCGTACGTTCAAAACGACCAGTATAAAAGACGGAAACGCAGAGCACGGGTGTAGTGTTCGGGTTAGTGTGGTGTTCCGTTGTATTGATATTTGTGTGTGTGCCGCGTATGTGCTCAATGTATGTTCACCTAATGCTTGTCATAAGTGTAATGTGTGTGTATAGTAGAGGATCCCCAAGCGCAGGAGAGCGGCTCTGAAGCGCAGTAGTGGCCTGAAAAAAAAAATTTATTTTTTGTAGAACATGAATTGGGCGGTACCAAGCGCCACCTAGCCTAGCTGCTTGCAATTACTCTGCTTGACCTCGCCATCTGGTGGCTAGCGATTTAACCTTTCACGCTACGCGATAAACAGCGGCTTCGAGTTTGTTCTTTCGAGAGCGGCTTTTGGTTTCGCAGATTGAGTTTGCCCTTCTCTGTGATGTGCGGTTGACGAAGGAATTGTGACTCGAGGAACACCAAAGGTAAGACTCAAAGTGCGCGAAGTAACTGGGTATCGGTTGTCTCCGTTTCACATCGCAGGGCTGTCGACGAGAAGACTGAGTAACTGCTTTCGAAACGCAAGTTTCTGTACTTGTGGGGGCAATCTGGCTTCGGAAATAAACACAGTTTGCGGAAAGCTCGTGTGACGCTTTTATTTGCTGCTGCTCTCGTCCCGTACAAGAGACGTAGCGTCCTGGTTAAGCCTTATTGGGCTCGATTTGCTCGATTCGGGGCCGCCATATTGAGATGCAAGCGACAGAGGAACGTTGCTCCCCTGCTTCAGGGACGAACGTTTCTCCCTTTCTAAAGGAACATAGGTTACAAGACCGTTCCTCCCCTAAGGGAGGACTATCCATACCCTTTTTTCTAAGAGTGTAGGCGGCTCTTACCAATCGCGGGCAGCGGGTGGGAGAAGTTTCAGGAGGATTTACTGCTGCGCCTCCGGCGTTTTCGACATCGGCCGCTTCAGCGCAATACATGGGGGAGATAAGGCGGTGAGCACACTACCCAACGTCTGGGGTACTTTACGTATACTATGGGCCGCCTTTCGGGTCTCGGTAGCACCCATGGCGAGCAATCAGTAATAAAAAGACCAGGTCAAGCGCTTCCATGCAGATTTGAGGCAAGCCGTTCTTAAAAGGATGCTGAACCGAAATCTGAATTCCACAAAACACGGCTGCAAAAGCGTGCAACGGGATGCTACAAACACCGAAACATCACTCATACAGCGATATCTCGAACGGGTGGCCGTATTTTTTAAAAAAGGACGCGTATTTGACAGATATGGGGGGCTAAGCTCGCCTTCGGCGGGAATCTCTCCGATGCGACGTCACGGGGGAGGGGAGGAGCTTCTTTTGA